GAGGTATAAAGCCAGCTGGTCAATGTGACTGTTTCACAACACTGAGGACATAGATGTAAATGAGAAAAGGCATTTTCCATACCTCAAACAAACTGAACTTTGCTGAATAAGCACAAAAATAATCCTTCAGTAAGCTGACTGTTACAGTGGAAATAAATCAGCAGAGTGCTCAAGTAAATAACTTCAGTCATTTTGAAAACTGCTAATAAAGAAGCTGTATACTATCTTAAATTTCCTTTTCAATCCCTCAGATGCAGATCTGGAGCAATTGCTGTAGTAATGGGTATACTCTAATGTCAATCTTTTATGATCATGTATTAATACAAATCACCCTTTTCTGAGTCCATCTATTCTATGGAATTTTTTTATGCATAAACATGGACCATAGATAAATGCTGAGCAGATCATATCCACAAGTCTCTTGCCACAAGTATCAAAACTTCTCAGGGCCGTTTCCTTTGTGAAGATTCATTTAAGTAGCAAGATCTTTTTCTCTGTAGTTCATCCCCATGCCTGAGATTTGCAGTAATGTAGGACCAGTTTACCATCACTGCCAAAACACTACAAAAAGAAAAAGGCAATAAATTAAACTCCATTTTTGTATTGCTTGGGTGAAACTAACAAAAAAATGTCATATCTATCATAAATATCGTCAAACATAAACATGTAAGTTATCTGCAGGGCTACTTCTTTTAACAAAGTCAAGATGCTATGCTCTCAGACACTTACCAGTAATCACAAATGCTTTAATCTTGCCCCTTCTGTACATCTCTAACTATAAAGTATGTACTGTTTTCGAGTAGCAGTGTTAGTATATTTACTCTAATGATCACTGCATTGAAGATGTATGACTTGACTACAGTCATTCTTATGCAGTCTCCTTTTCAATTTCCTGGAGGCAGATCTGGATTAGTGTACTTCAAAGTCATCTTCTGTTAGTATTATTCATCCCTTAATTCTTCAATCACCGCATAATTTACTGAGATCGAACTATGTTCAAGGTGTTATGTTAGAGATGCAAGAGAGAACAAAAATATAATCTCTTTCCTGACAGATGATTAAGAATGATATATGATCTCTTAAAACAATGATGTGAGTTAGTGATCACACAATATACAGATGTACATATTCTATTAAGAAAATAAAGCAGTTATGTTTTACCTCATAGAGGGTTCCAACTTCCTGATCTGGGGAGGGGGCAAAGGACTGATTCACATAAATAAACTGCAAGAAAGAAACAAAAGTTATGGTCACTCATTTTTGAAGGTATTGATTAATCTGCAATTTTCTGGGTTGCAATTAGCCAACTATTACAAGTTTTTTTCAGAATCGAAGAAAGCTTCCTTCAACTCCTTCCTTCTGATTTTCATAAATTAGTCAACTAATGAGATCTTTATAAAGATCATGCCTTTCCTCCAGAAGAATAACAATAACAGAATTTTTGTTCTTAGAACAGGTTTCCAACTTTTTATAAGAAACTTCTGAATACTGTTTTCACAAATGGCTTTTCAAAGTTTAAGAAATCACATTATTGAAAATACTAATTTTCCCATTTACTCATAACTAGAAACAGAATCTCTCATAGCAAAATTTCACACACATAGCCCCAACATCAAAAAAATTGATATATGAGATAGTCTGCGCATTTTTCTTGGGTAAAGGACATTTAGGGTTGTTTTTTTTTTGAGCTTTACCAGCTTTGAAAACTCTCAAAAGTACTGGTTTAGGCAGGGTGCCACTACTGTAGTCATCTGCAGCCAAACGAGAGAAAAAAAGTAATGTAACTGAAACCTAATGTCCTTACATTGTTCTTTGAAGGATTCACTGTTCAATGTTTCAGTTTAGTTTTTTACTAAAACATTTCTAGTACTTAAAAAAATTTTCTGAAGATACTGAAACAAAAGGCCAGTATTAAAGTGGCCTTTGATAATCTTTTTAGAAAACAAAACATTATTTGCTAGTAACATTTTCAATTTTTATGTCTCTGTAACTGTTTTCACGTTCGCCTTGTCTACATGCTCTTGGAGGCCAGTCCCGCTGCTCGCTTGCTTCTCTCAGCACGTCTGCTCACCAGTACCACACAGACCCTGCAGTTGCTGCTGTTTGTCCCCACCAACT